CCCTCTGGAACGCCACTGTCATATATTGTCACATGAAAAGTGTTAATACAATGTAGAACAACATATAATAAAACCCAGCTTGCCAAACGTGATGATGTAAGCAGTGGACGACCTGTTATGCCAATTATTTAACGTGTTCCTATCTATATGTCCATATAAATGGTTTCATAATTGTACTTTGCGGAATATATACATTAAACAAATATGTAATACCAATACCATTGATTAAAATAACAACCTGAGTTGATTTAAAACAAAAAATGCGTCAAAAAAATATGTAAATACAAACCAACCTTGACCCACCCCCTCCCCCCCAAAAACCCCAGTGGTTTTAAAATGTTAGCGTTTCAGGTATCATTTGAAACATTTAATAATGTGTCTGTGGTCAAATTCAGAAAAGGAATATTTTAACCTCGTATTTATTTTATTTATAATTTTCGTAATGTCGTGATCAAGGAAACATATGCAGTCATTTTGACCATATTTTTGTTCGTTAATTGGTATGCAAGTACGGAGGAAAGGCACATTTGCGACAGTGAAATTTACGTCGTCAAGGACATAGTATGCAACCATATCTTTGTTCTCCTTCTGAAAAACAAAATATATCAAAGGATAAACAAAACCGTCATCTGAGCTCAAAGGTTCCATGTAACATGTAATAACAAGAGCAAAATATGAATAACACCAGGTGGTTTTGATGGGTAAGCGTCATCTGCTTATCGTCGACCCCGCAATAAGAATACATACGGGCACGACACCAAAGTCGATATTTATATCGCACAGTATTTCTACTAACAAGATTATGAGGTGACCATTAAACTTGCGTTCTTCACCCGGGTTTCGCAAAAGTTAATATCAAGATACAAAGCTTAAACAGAGGTTTTAGTGTTATCTTGTTTTGAAAATCGCCGAAATGAATAAAAAAAAAACCAATTTCAAACGTTGCCGTGTATTCAACGTCAAATCATTAAATCTGAAATGTTTTGTATCCTTGCATACATTCCGCCTCATAAGAGGGGAGGGGTCACTAACGGTGGTGTATAAATATTGTCAACATATAGTCTCTATACTGCCATTCTATACACGTGTTATGAATGAAATGCTGTTCTGAAAAATATTCAAATCAAAATATTTCAAGGGAAAGATGTATGCTTAGAGTTGATCGAAATACAGCAATTTCTAACGAGCACGAAAAATTAAATGTTAGGCGAAGCCATCTATAAATATTCTCGTTCTCTTAACCTGCTCAAGACAGAAAGCCTTAAGTTAACTGTAATTACTCTTCTCATTGTTACCAACACCGCATGTGGTCTATCTTGTGTCTGTTCCGGTAGGTATGGACCAGCGTGCAGTTGGTTACTTATTAGATATTGGGCTAGCCTAACGTTTGACCAGCCCAAAATTGAATAAGTAACCAACTTCACGCCGGTTAGCTATGGAATTTTGAACAGCCCGTACTTGAAGACAACTTCCGAAACAACTTGTTCAATAGATTCAATTCATTCGTCTAAAAGAAAAGTAAATTTCTTAAACAAATACAATACAAATGAGCTATGTTAAATGAGTATGGTAATTTAAATATGGACAGAGTTTACCATTACGGTCATATTAATTAATTAATATTGAAGTAGCAGTGCAGTGGTGTGTTTTTGAGTGTGATGTGACATTCGTTCGGAACTATGAATGCGAGATAATACCCATGAAGTTGATGTGACAAGGGTTATTAAGTGAATACCCAGGCATATTTACAAAAGCCGTGAACCTGGTATTATTTTTGCTCTCAAATTAAATCTTCGCGAGTAATCACAATTGCAGAAATAACTATTCACACAATATAATTGATTAAAGAAGGTTTACAATTGTCACTGAAGATATTCATCAGGGCCCAGTTGTTCAAAGGGCGATTAGCTTAATCAGTTATTAGCGCGAATTTCGTTTTTTGTGTTTTTGAAATACAACTATTAACTAAGTTATAACTTTCCAGATATCAAGTATTTAGTAGAGTAAATGTACGTGTAAAATAACGAGTTTTTACCTTGCATATTGACGAAATGATCAAAGGTTGAAAAATGTCGTTAAACAGTGATTAAGCTAACCACCCTTTGAACAGCTGGGCCCTGAACGATATTCAGTAAAACCTATTATAATTACATGTACCTCATTAAAAACCTTAACTGCACGACGAACTTCATTATAATTAAAGAAAGCATGTTATAACATTACACGTATTACATTATTTAGAAATGCAAAACTGTTACAGGTGTACACGTAATCGTGTTTCGGAAGGAAACTTGTGCATTGCGTGACAAACATCTTTCAAATTAAAAGTAACCAAATACAGCCGAGGATCCTATTAGCTTTCTTAAATTTTTAAATTAAGATATCGCGCTAAACATTCGACAGCTCACCAAACCTAAAATAGACTTTGTTATCTAGGGATAATCAGATTGACAATGTTATTGACAATCCATTAAATAGATAACGTGAGTTTAGTTACTGGTTTTAGGATCGATTGCCGTAGCTGTAAAGCCGTACACATCCATGTGTGTATCCGCAGTAGGTACCCACCCCTCCCAACCCTACCGGTCATGTACAGCATGCTGTGTCCACAAAGGTCTCAAGCCATCAGTCCCAATATACTTTGTTTATCTATGTTGACTTCCCGTCCGTCTATGGTGTGTCTTGTAAGCGTCGTTGACGTACATCTAGATAATGAGACAAGTTGGGGTCTCCTTAAGAAAATGTCAGAATAGCTTAAACCGAAGAGTCTTGTCGTAGGTCACTTTGATATTTCTGCAATTAGATCGATTTTTTCCACATCAAATGATACAGTGTTAGACGCTGATTTTGAGACTTGAGATCTAGCTGGCATTAAAGTGTGCCTCAATGCAGCAATAATTATGCAGGCTGATAGTATTTGTTGTTGTTACTAGGCAACTGTTCCCGCTTCTAGCTATTATTTTGAAGATCCCCGTGGTCTCCCCGGGACTTCTGACGTCACCGTTCCTCACTTCATGTGCCATTCTATTTGACAACAGGAGCTCGGTGTGCCCGGATCCGGGAGTAGTGCTGCTGAGCATCTTTGCTGGACTCTCGTCAATACCTCTTGGTCTGTTGATTTTGCCATACATATAGTGTTGTTTCATCTGCCGTATTTTCTCCTGTGTTGTCCATAAGGGGAGTTTGCGTTGGAAGCGAGTGATGAGAGATACTGTAGTGTGTTAATGTGAGAGCGTCGAAGCAGCTGTCAACACCGCAGTCGCCGTGACGAGGGGACACACGAGTATATAGCAGTAGCTTATCGATTGTAGATCAAACTCACAGCAAAATATACTACAATCAAAACAATGCAGTCTTATTGGTCATTTATGGTTTGTTAGATAAACAATACCCCAGTGTTGTACGGCAGTGGTTTTACGAACGGAACTAATTTCTACCGAGAGGTGAGCTGATGATCATCATGGACAAGGATGGACACTGGATATCTGACAGTTGACTAGTACGACAGGATGACCATTTGATCATTATTCCCAGGGGACATCTACTGGTGAGTTCATTTTTAAGAATTATATTTCAATTCTCAAAGTCCTGTGTCATTTTAATTGTAAATAAAAGAGCCAGTTCTGATTTTGGCTCACGAGATGTCTGTCATCAATCCAACGGCAGAATCCTTCGATGGTTATTGAATGTTATTGTTTTCTTTTTCGCTTGTTTGTTGGCAATGCCTTACATTCTTTAAATATATATTCAAAGCATTCAAATACCCGTCTGTGTACTTATTTACTTATTTAGATACTCTAAAAAAAATTATAGTCATGCTTTTGGCAGTGTGTGTGTTAAGTAGATATTGTTTTTCATGTAACTGACATATTCGAATTTGATCGTTTACATTGTTATTCAAATTTATATTGTAACAATGTTAGATTCTTGAAAAATAATAATGCTTATACTGATTTTAATGTTGATGCATGAACTTTGTAAATAGGCGGTTACCATAGTGATGACTTTTGTCCGTATTTACTGTCATTTTATATCTGGGCATGTAATTTCAATCTCAATATTGACCCATCTGTTATCTCGCAAATCTGCATCGGGATACCTCAGTGCCGTGTCCAGCCTTCTGATACTGTAGTTTGTGACCAACCTATATAGCCACAACGCTAATCCAAGACATTACACCGGTCTCGACATGAATACCCGCTATATAGTGATGTTTAATACAATGGCCGTGCGCGTTCCGATTCGCACTGGCTGGTGTTTTGGGATAACCCTGAAGTTTTAAGTCGTATTGATACCAACAGATATTTCAAGATTTGAAGCCATGGTCGCTGGCACAATGTCGTCTGCTCTGATATTTAAGAAGATATCTTTTTTCTGCGTATAGCGATTTGATTCCCCCCTTTACCTGCTATATAGATTTATAATGCTGTGAGTCTTCTCAAATCTTCAGCAATAAGTGCCATTTTCTAGCTATCAAATATTACTCTCGTTTTTAAAATAACTTAAAGGTATAACAGTGTTTCTTTTGTTAAAATACAATAAGTTTCGTTTGTATCAACACCAAACTAGACCATCAGTTGACACACTGATACTCGTTATTACGGTAATATGATAGTAATTTCTATTTTTTAAATTATTGACCAAGATAAGAAATGCTCGCAGAATGAAATAAATATTATTTTGAAAAAGTAAAAAGAAAAAGAAAAGTATTTGACTTAAGAGTATCAATGGGTTAAGAAAAAAATGTGAATTTGACTAATTTTGTCAATAAATATCGTGAGATATTTTGTAACCTTACCGAGGTTTTGAAGCCACACATGTTGTCGGTTTTACGTAAGACGTGTTTTACGTGTCATTAGCCGGCTTCTCTCACACTCAAAGACACTCTGCATTTTATACAATTTCTTCGTAATTCCAGTAGCGTGTTGTGGTATCTGTTAAAAGAGACCCAGAGATATTTCAAGCTTTCACTGGTAATATAAAGCGTGTTTTTGAAATGATAAAGTCATTGATGGGATTTTACAGTACGCAACAAGCCTAAGGTTAATTATGCGATATGTACATTCTCCAATCAATCCCGAGTTACAGTCTGAAGTAACGATTCCAACTCTAATATGTATATCTACAAAAAAATTAAAAACAGGCTTCTGCCATCAACATTTTGTATCTATGCTATAACGAGGTTTCCACGACATCTTTGTAAGATACCGTTACAAATGTTTGATGCATTGCTCGGAGAGGTTCTACTGATTGGTTCGTTAAACACACTTTCAGTACTGCTATGCAGATATGATTTCACCTTTTCTCGGAAAGTGTATTGGCTCTCTGTTGAAGCTATTGTAAGAAATATATTACGCGTGCACATATTCTTATTATATAATACATTGTCTATAAGATAGATGTAAACAAACATCCACGTGTAATACAACACTTGTCTTGTGAATTTAACTAATTCTGTATTAGCGTTTTCAAATAGTCGATTAAACTTTTCTATTCATTTGATAATTTGTGCTGATTTGTAAAATGTATGTTATTGCCTGAGTATGGGCATCACAATAGCTGAAAGGTAGGATTTGGTTTTGATTTTATCAAGTTTAACGTGCTATTAACAGCTAAGGTCATTCAAGGACGTGCCTCCATGTGTGTTTTGTATGCGTGTATGTGTGTATGTGTGTGTGTATGTCGGAGACATGATATTTTGGTGTTCTTGCTTCCTTGTGATAGTGCGGATCTGATGCCGACTTTAGAGTGCTATTTCACTGAAATACCATGTCGAAGGCACCCAGCACAGCATTCCGCCCGGTCACATTATACTGACAACAGGTGAACCAGTCGTTGCCATTACCCCTAATGCTGAACGTTTAGCAAGGAATAACAATTATCATTAATAAGTTTCCCGGCCTAGGGACAGAACCCATTGCCTCTCTCACCTGGGCAAACGTTCATCATTAAAGCCAAAAGTGAAGTGTCACCAAGCAAGGCGCTATGAAATGAAAGGTATATAAAAGTAGAAAGAAAGAGAAGGATCCCAAATGTTGCAATGTGTGAAGCAGATTTATTTTGGTCATATTTGTGTCCCCAATTAGAGGGTAAAAAAACAAATCTCCGAACCTGCAGGGGTTCCCCACATTAGTCGCCTCTTACGATACCTGCAGTGGGTAACATCAGGTGTATTCTTTTCTCAATCCCCGACCTGTAGGGGTAGGAAGGTAGAAGGCGATGTGGGTTTGCTTTAATGGTGTAACCAGCGCTATATTTTATCATTGTGTAATTAATAATGGCGAATGCAATTTAGGTCAAACATAATGTTTTAGGTATGAGAAGGATCATGCTTCATTTCTTCCGTCCTCACATATCTTGCAAATAAAATAAAACAAAAAAATGAAATATATATCAAAAAGCATCATATTTGGAATACAACTCGAGATATTTTGAATGTTTTTAATCGGCTTCATGGAGGAAATGTAAGGCTGAGCATGAACGAATTTGTATGGTATTAAAAACAGTGCTCCAACAAACAACTGATCTCTTGCAATGTAGGAGTGACTAACTGAATTTGTCACTCTTGTGTACATGTGACGTAGGCTGGGAAATGTCAACCCGAGGGATCTGGAGTTTAGCTTGAGGTTTTGCCGAGTGATAAACGTCAAAAATCCTATCTTGAGTGTTGAAATTGCTATCTTGACATCACACAGGATCGGATAACTATTTTCCCCCTTAATTTCCAACCGTAAAATTAAGTTGTAATGGTGAATTTATCGCCTGGAATTCGGTAAGAAAATTTATTACGTGATCCTGGTAACGCTGCATAAATTGATGACGCGACTGTGACCTTTCTTTACCCTAGAAAAACCAAACTGTACTTGTGAATATTTTCTAACTATCAAAAACGTTGAATTTTATCTCTATTATTGTACAGCTTGAAATAATAATGCAAGCTTTTACAATCACATTATTTGTATAACGCCTTAATATGTATCATTCTACGCCAGTATGACGGAACAATATTCAGTGCTAGCATTGATTTTACACAAATGCTTTATGCTCTATGTCGGGACATATCTTTTTATTGACATCTCTTCTGCGTAGCATGATATTCCCATTAGATCTTAATGCAACCTTAAAAAAGGGTTTAAACTGAATTTAGATCTTAAAAAAAAAGAAAAAGAAAGGATTTCGGAAAAAGTTTAATTGTCAAAAGATAAAAATAAATAAAAATATAACTTGTTTTTCTAAACATATCAAAGACAAAACGATTCGGATGTTGGGAGTTCTATAATTTTCCATTGTATTTGGTAAATGACCATCGCTTCGTTAAAAGTCCTATCTAAAACACTTGAGTAGTTGTGCAGTTTTGACATTTAGAAATTCCACAATATTACATGACGTCATCTTGGTTTTTAAGGAACGTCATGTTTATATCGTTTTTGCTAGGAGTTTTTAGAAATGAGATCTTCAACACTTACTGTAACATACAAGTGGGCCGCACTTAATGAAAATCTTGACATTTTATGCGTAATTCGTATCCATAGATGCATATGTTTATAGCGACCCAGTTTTATCAATGGGCAATTTGTCACTATGGACATGTCAAAAGTATCTGGCTGTCGACCATTGTAATATCACAACTGCTTCCTTTTGAGTATGTTCTTGACTTTATATTACTTATAATTGTGTATATATATATACCAATTTGTATGGAAACGTTTCACTAACCAAACTTATTGGACATACATTGGGCTAAACCGAGCTTCCCTAAAATCTTACACACCATACGATAAAATAATTGAATTTGGATTGAATGTTTATTAAGTCAATACTCTGCAACGTTGATAATTGGTAACATAACAGGGACTATCTTTTAACGGTTTGACACTTTTACACAGGCAACAACTCTTTATACGTAAGCACAAACTCATTGAATAATGACTTATCAATGCTTCATCAGTGGTTATTGAGGACATCAATGTGGGCGAGACATACAACAGTAAATCATGTCGAAGTAACAAAATTGATGACAATGTCACCGCATCAATGTATGCAGGAAAGATACCGTGAGTTACAAGTAAGAGGAACCAGCGAATGCGAAAAATTCAAAGAAGAGTCATATATTAGATATTGTACAACAAAAAATTAATGTATAATATATTGTACTATAAAGAATAAAAGTACTATTATTGTAAAACAAAGAATGAAAGTATTACACATTGTGCAACAAAGAAAAAAAGATTGCAAATTGTAAACAAAGGATATATTTATTATTCATTGCAGTAAAAGAAATCGTGTATCACATATTTTAAGCAAAAAATTCGTGTATTACATAGTATGTATATAGTTTAAACCAAAAAAAGTCATGTATCACATTTAAAAAAACAACCAAGTTGTGTACATGTATCATATAGTATAAACAAAAAAGTCATGTAACAAATATTGCACAATAAAGAAGTTTTAAAAATACATAAATATATATTTATATTGTCTACTAAAGCAATGTTTAAAAGTAAAACATGTAATATACTAATCGTTTGTTAAAGGAACACCTACTCC